TAAAATATATAAATATATCAATTAAGTAAAAGAAATAGAGAACGTTTTCAAAGAGCTATCCTTACCTCACTTCCAAAAAGACACAAAGATCAAATGGTTTTTGTGGTGGATTTCTTATAAAATCTTGAAAAAACAAATAATTCTATAGTACAGGAAAAGAAGAAAACCTTCAATGTTTTCTTTTATGAAGTAAGAATTAATACCAACATTCAACAAAAATTTCCAAAAAGAAAATCTTTATAGGCCAGTCTCTCTTATAACTATCAGTGCAAAATGGTTCTAAATAAAATGTTAGCAGACCTAAGTACCACATTAAAAGAAAATTACGTATTAGCCAAGTAAGATTTTTCCAGTAATGTAAGAATTTTCAGTATTAGGAAAGCTGTTTATGTAATTTGCTATAATAGTAGATCTCTTCTTACAAAAGCAAGAGAACTGGCCCCGGAGTCACATTCCCTGGTTAAAATCCCTGCTTAGATTCATGTTAGCAGCTTCCTTAGTAAAGTACTTCTCAGAGATTCAGTTGCCTCATCTGTAAATTACAGTTAAAATACCTACTTCTCAATATTATTATTAAAATATGGTGTCTTTACAACACCTAATATAGTACCCAGACTCTAACAACTGCACAATATGTTTTAAAAAAAAGTAGTTGGGGAGGAAATACATATCACATGAACATATAGGCAGGAAATGCGTAGTGCTAAATTGATAGCTTGGATGATCATGACTGTAGAATTCAGAGGAAGGAGATCATGTCTAGGGGAATGTGGTTATAACATACTGATTGAAGAAACGGGAACTACAGCTGGATCCTGAAAGGTAAGTAGTCTGTGGGAAAGAGCAAGGGCATTGTCCCAGGAAGCGAGAGGATGGTGTGGACGCAAGAGTGAGCTGAAGATGTTTGGATATAGCAGAGCCCACTTGGAGGAGAGGACAGAGAGCCAGAGAGACAAGTTGTGGTCAGATTAGCAAGGGCATTAAATGCGAGGCTAATTAGTTTGGGTTTTGCTCATAGGAAGCCTCTTTAGATTTATGTGTAGGGTAATAACGTGATGGAAGTAGTGTTTTAGATTGATGATGTTTTGGCAGCCAGCCATATAGATTGGGGTCAGCAAAGGAGGC